TATATATATATATATATATATACATACATACATACATACATACACAAGGTTAGCCAGTATATATCAAGGTAATGTAAAATGAAGACTGAATTAACTAATGACATGTCCTGTGCCGTGTTACGCCTTCCATCCAGGAACTATAAGTATAGTGATAGGAGCAAGAGAAGAGATAGTTCGGGAGAGGAGGCATTAATAATCCTTCTTAGATTCTCTATAATAAGTGAGCCCCAAGGCAGGGCTGGACAGATTCCACAATATAGAATCCTACACAATTAAAGCTGTATTGTCTGTTGTCATTGTAAATATGTGTCACATGGCTAATTAAAGAGGATCTGTAGTCTTTTTACTTGACCTTAGCCAAAAGGCCAAGAAGCATTATCTGTAGCCTTTTCATTATCTTTTAAAAGAGATTAGCTTGATGTGAATCTTATCAATAAGTGTTAATGCTTTGGAAACCTTATAAGGCCACATGTTGAATATGTTTTATAAGTTTTAGGCCCTACTGCCTTAGGAGCCGGCTAGTATAATCCACAAGACATGTATATTGTAATTTCCCATTGGGTAGAATCCCCCCACCCCTCCTTTATTTCCTGTTTTGTGACACACCAGGAAGTGAGAAATTAACAGACATGCAGACAGTAAACCTAATTGTGGTTTTTGATGGCCTTTTCCCACATTACTTATGAACGTGCTTTTATTGTGTCCCCACAGAGAATGTGCTCACTTCCTGTCCCAGTGACAAAACAAGGGAGTATTGGGAAATCTCCCCAGAGGGGACAGACACAGAGATAACTACCTAACAAAAGTTCTAACACAAAGTTTTGGCTTGAGTTCTACTTTGAAGCATTCCGAAAAGTACTTTGTTTACATGTGTGTCTATTAATGTATAACAGGGGTGGGCAACTCTGACTCTCCAGCTGTGCTTTAACTACAAATCCCATAATGCATTTGCCTCTGGGGGTCATGTCTGTGGCTGTCAATCTTGAAATGCCTCATGGGACTTGGGACCCTTTGCAGAGACACTGTCACTTTGCACTGTATTGGAAAGGTGGCTGAATCCCTTTCTCTCTGACCCCTTTAAGAGGAACATCAACTTCCTCTGCGTGAATAACACTTTAGGGGGAATATACTACAACTGGAGCAGACAGAATCTGGAGCATTTGTGCAAAGTAACCAATCAGCTTATATCTTCAGCTTGTTCAGTTAAGCCTTAAAAATGAATGCTAGAAGCTGATTGGTTAAGCTGGCCATGAAGCCCGAAATGAGCACAGTGGGTGCTGCTGTTGGCCCCCTTTTGGCTGCCATCCCTCGATCAGCTGATTGAAGGAGTCGGTCGGAAAATCTTTGAATGAACAGAGCAGGCAACCAGTCAGTTGCCGGCTTGAGTCAGCAGGACACGGCCTAAATTTGAGCAGTTAATTGCAAGCTTTACTGTGCACAGCTGCTCCAGATTTTGTCTGCTCCAGTTTTAGTAAAATCCCCTCTAAGGAGCGGTTTACACCACAAAGTCTGCGTTCCAGAGCGTTCGGCTCTGGAACGCACTGGAATGCAGGCCGGCCAGCTTCCTGCGTTCAGGGATGGGAGGGGGTGTGGCGGTGCAATGAAGTCAATGGCACCGCAGCCGCGCCCGTAGTGCAATCGCCCGCACCCGAACGCGTGGCAAATTAGTGCTTGTGTTCCGGTCCAGTGCGATCTGCAAATATGCTGCATGCACTATTTTTGCAGATCGCACTGGACCCGGAGCGCAGGTACTAATGTGCCACGAGTTCGGGTGCGGGCGATCGCAATGCGGGTGGCGGGCGTGGCTGCGGTGCCATTGACTTCAATGCACCGCCACACCCCCTCCCATCCCTGAATTCAGGGAGCCGGCCGGCTTGCGTTCCAGAGGTCGAACGCTCTGGAACGCAGACTTTGTGGTGTGAACCGGCTGTAAGTCTTTTTGGGTTCCAAATGGCTCTAAGAGGCCCTTGAGATGCAGCAGGACGGGCAAAGCTCAGACACCTCTGGGTACCGTCAAGCTTGCATGCCTCCATTCCATCCCACACATATTCATAGTACAAAAGAGATCGGCTTTATATAAATCTTATCACTAAGGGCTTTCCCAGACCATTTTATAACAGCAATCAGTAACCATAATGTCCTTATCAAGAATAAAAAAAGAGGATGCAAATGAATGGCCCTCCTGACATGACCTTAGTGCTACTGTTTTATAAAACTTGCTGCTTTATAGAATCTGCAACTACGAGTGTACGTGGCGACAGCCGTGTTTACTCATGATATAAACAGGCTCTGATGACAGCTTTGCAATGCAATACAATGGCTTTGTGCTTCTTTGACCTCCCTAACAACACAGGTTTATTAGTCAGACATTGAAAACAATGCACTCCATGTGGTGTGATATTGTATATACAATAAACAAGAACTGAAAGACCTCGCACGAAAAGTGGCCTTACAAGGAGTTTAAAGGAGAATTATGAGGCGAGTGATTTTCACTCAGCCTCATAATCTGAGCCGACCTGTGACAATGAAACTGTCACAGGTCGGCTCAGTAGATCGGGAAGTGAGCGAACACATACCGTCGCTCGCTCACTTCTCGATCTATCCGTGCAGAGAGCCGTGATTGTCAGTAACGGCTCCCTGCAGGCATTCCCCCTCGCCGCTCCGATCCCCCAGCGCTGACTGGCGGAACGGACGGGGGATGGGGCGGGTACAGCTGGCTCTGCCTCTAGATTGGCAGAGCCAGCTGTCACTCACGTAGCTGGGTGGATCCAGACAGCATTGTCGGGATCCGTTCCAGCTGCGGCGTCTCAGTATACCGCGAGCTGTAGCTCCCTCTACTGAGCTTTGGGTGACGAGAGGACGCTAGTTTGTGTCCTCCCGTTACCCTTAGGAGAACTATGGGGAAAAGCCCTGACCCCATAGTTCTCCTTTAAGCAGGGGCCACCTTGCTACACCAGCATCACAATAGTTTTATTTCTTTTTATATATCTCATGATTGTATTAGCTTGTGCAGCTGCGTTGCTGTTCGGTTCTCTGTTAACCAGTCTTCACATGTCCTTTCCCAACTTTGTTTCATCCATTTCTAAATATATTTATTGTACACGGCAATGCAAATGAGGCCTATACTGTATGTAGTTGCAGGATCCACATTCTTCACGCCCCTCCCTGTGTGTCTTTAGTTAATTAATTACACAATCCATTGTATTAGCAAAATGTACTGTTTCCTCACTGAGTCCAGATAAACCGGCTTCTCCGCTGTTTCCTGTAAGACGAGTCGGCTTATCTGATTTCACCCGCTTTGCTGTTAGTTCATGTGTTGTAATTACCAGCTGCTGATCTGCTGTTTACTTCAAAGGTAGAATCAGGTACCCTTTGTCCTTTCACAATGAAGGTAACCATTGCATAGACTGAGCCAATACTTTACCCCATTCATTCACTATGTATGTAACTGCTGCAGTTGTATGCCAATCCTTTATTGAGTCTAACATACTAGTAAATGACAAGGCTCTGCAATTTAAATTCCCCATGCCGATGGCAAATATTTCTTTACAGGTATTTATGTAGCGTCGTCGATTTCCGCAGCGCTTTACGTAGTTGCACATTCACATCGGTCCCTGCTGTTGAGGAGCTTACAATCTAAGGTCCCTATCTCGCATACATACATACAGGGCCAATTTATACAGGAGCCAATTAACCTTCCAGCATGTTTTTGGAGCATGGAAGGAAACTGGAGTACCCGGAGGAAACCCACACAAGATCAGGGAGAACATGCAAACTCTGTGGAGATGGTGACCTGGCCGGGATTTGAACAGGGGACCCCCAGTGCTGCAAGGCAGGAGTGCTAAGCATATGCCACTGTGCTGATTTTTAACTTTTAAAGTTTTTAAAGTGAAATTTTGTTGTGCCATAGCAGTGGTCCTCCACCTTTTCTAGGGCCGGGAACCCCTTGGTAGCATTTGCCAAGTTGTGGTGACCCTCCAACGGACCACTGGACTCTGGAATTAGTAACGCTCTGGACTTAGTAATGCACTGGACTCAGGACTTAGTAACGCACTGGACTCTGGACTTAGTAACGCACTGGACTCTGGACTTAGTAACGCAGTGGACTCTGGACTTAGTAACGCTCTGGACTTAGTAACGCACTGGACTCTGGACTTAGTAACGCTCTGGACTTAGTAACGCTCTGGACTTAGTAACGCACTGGACTCTGGACTTAGTAACGCACTGGACTCTGGACTTAGTAACACACTGGACTCTGGACTTAGTAACGCACTGGACTCTGGACTTAGTAACGCACTGGACTCTGGACTTAGTAACGCACTGGACTCTGGACCTGTGTGGTTTTTCTGTTGGTGTTTTTAATCCAATAGTGGTAAGAGATGTGTGATCTGGCTAACAGGTAGGCAGCTTCCACAAGCCAAAGGATCTCCATGGCATCCTTGGCTCTTAAGGTCAGCACAGTAGATGTAGGAATTGAAGCACCAATTTAAATAATCCAGATGCAACTTTTATTCTATTAGGCTCAGGGGACATTCAAGTAGAGTAGCCAACGCGTTTCGGGGGTCCAAAACACCTCCCCTTTATCAGGGATTAATGAGAGAGATCATGTATGTGGAATTCAATTCCTGCAGCTTGAACATTGTATTAAGTTGTCATGGGAGTACATCAGGCTTGTCAGCTACTGGTTTGCAGCAACCATTGGTACCCTGATGAAGGGCGGGGGGGG